TCCAACACAAAACAAGATGACAGTTGTCCCTGGACTGGAATATTCCACGAGTAACCCATTCCGTGCCTTGTTCAAATGCTACGCCTACTCTGGCTCAGGAATAAGGGGTACACTTATGGTATGCCCAGGTGGTCCACAGCTAAAAACGTCCGACTTATTGGCTATTCCTTCGGTGAATCGGCCCTCTTATCAAAAACGTTACGTCTCACCTACCTGAAATATAATAGAAGGATCAAATCTTCGCCATGGATCAAACCCTTTTTGGGGTGCGACACGCTTTCAACTCCCCTTCTAAATAGCAGCGGATTGTTTTGAAGGCGATATGGCCTATCCAACGACTTGCGGGGTGAACAATGTACGAGTCAGTGCTTTTACCTTTCACAAGAGCTCCCGGAAGGTAAAAGACTTGCTTGGCCTGAGCAAGAGCCGATCCGGGATTTGTCACTAAAACTAGGCAGGAACAATAGCCTAATACTGTCCTGGTAACATGCTGGTAGCAACAGAAAACAAGAGCATGTTCAGGGACCACTATGACTACCTGCAGCCAAAATTTTCTACACGGTACAGTTTGGGTAGTGGCCGGGGTAGGGGCATGTGCTTTCGCTGCTCCAGTAGTTTCAGTTTACAAGCCTCACTCTGGTGAAACTTGTGAAGCTGAAGCAATCTCGTCGAGCCACCACGGTAAATGGTATTTCTCTGGCGGAGACGGACAAGATAATCGCAACTTGTCGCATCGCATATCGCGTGGCAATGCATGGCGAATCCTCAATGTGCATCAGTTTATCGATTGGAGCAGTGAAACTCATACGGATTCAAGTCGTAAAAACCTCATGGCGGCCGATATCAAATTTCCCCGTCCCTTTAACAGCCATGCAAGACAACTCGTATATCTGACACTACGCTGCTCGCCGCGACCAGCGCGCCACATTACGATTGTCTTGTCATACACTTCATTGCCTTACAAGGCTTGACAGGTACAAGAGTTGACAGGCGGTCTCTACGAAACTGGATGGTATTATTCCGAGCTTCACAAAATTTATCACACACAGGGGGGGGGGGTCAAAAGGGCACTTTTCCCCCTCGACTTTCCAAGCGATAAGTTACACTTTATCAAATTCTGGTTGGCCATCCCCACCATTAAATTCAACAACACACCATACACCATCACCAGACTCCGCCCAGTGCCTCTAGACTAACGCTATCGAGAGATTCTGCCACGCGACCGTAATTCGGTGTCTGAGTTCAGGGAGGCTGTTGATTTCTCCGCCACTGTCCACCCTGTTGAGCTCCGCCCGAGCCCGGTAACTGGGCGGAGGGGGATGGGGGTTTAGATCAAGTGACACACTTGGATATTCCGTCTTTTTCAGGTACCTAGCTCGATTCCAAGCCAGTAGTTTTTCCGACGTTCTTCGATTCCATGCGCTGGCACCCAATACCGTACAGGCGAAGACATGAAGGCAGGATATTCTCCTCGAGCTAGGTACCTGAAAAAGACGGAATATCCAAGTGTGTCACTTGATCTAAAC